TCAACGCACCGTCATGCTGGTTGTACAAAAAACACCGGAAGAGCTCTGTTACTTGCATCGAGGGGGTAGTTTATTCTATACCCCTGTCATGTGGTAGAGAATATAAAGGATAAACCGGCAGGTGTTTATACGATCGCTTAAGAGAGCACATTTATAACACACACAAAGTCGGATCGGGACACCTGGGCATACACAGTAGAAATTGTGGATGCCTTCCGAGTTCTGAAAAATGTTCTGTAATAGGAGGAAGTCGGGAATCGCTGATCAGAGAGATAATGAAAGCTAAAAAAACAGCGCTTCTCACTGACAAGTGTGTTAGTAGTCCGTACTTAACATTGTCTCAAGAAGAGCTCGCATTTTTGTCCCGATAATTGCGGTAAGGAGTGAGAAGCATATTTAGAAGTGCTTCCTATTGTGCTGGTCATGGAGATTGGGAGAGTTAACCCAATGACGAGAACAAAGTAACAAAATACAAAACGAGCTTTTGTGTGTGTGTGTGTGTCTGTGTGTGTGTCGGTGTGTGTGATTGATCTTCCGCTGTTAACCTTAAGAGAGTGAATATCATCTCCATACATCGGCTCACAAAAATTCTTGCAAGTATAAAGCATACAAGGAGGAGACGTCTTCATCGTGGAAGACGACCAGACACCGCCCTTAATTTATAAACTTGGCAGAGTCACCCAGTTGTTTAGAGGCAGAGATGGGATAATAAGAGCCTGCGACATCTTGGCAAACAAGCAGGTCGTTGCCCATTCAACGTCTGTATTTGCTTGAAAGTTAAACGAACTTTGCATCGCCAATTTCTCGTTGTAGGGACGGGAATATGTTGAAAAAAGAAGAGGAAAAAGGGCTTATGCAATCTTGTGCGCAGCAAGGACGAGGACAAAAGTGAGAACTGGAGACAACAAGGCCCCTTGTTGTGTCCAGTTCTCCCTTTTGTCCTCGTCCTTGCTGCGCACAAGATTGCATAAGATGTTAAACCGACTCACCGAACAACCACTTGAAAGGAAAAAGATGCGCCCGTGACACGGGATAATGAAGGCAGGGAAATAAAAGCCAGGAGCGGAACGGTCCCGGTTTTATCTTCAACATGCACGAAACATTCCACTCGAGCGGCAGACGGAAGATTGACGGTGCGAAGACATAACGCGAAAATTATGGGTTAGTTAAAGGTGACAGCTCGGCTGCAAATCCCTCAGAGCCTGTACATTATGGGTGTCGATTTATCAACGTACCGAGCACGTATTGGCCGCTTCGTGAACAAATTTAAAGAAAGGTTACATTACCTACAGCAACATCATCTTAACCTTTTCGGTCTCGGCACTTTCGGTTTTTCAAACTGTTTAGTGTCGCAACTGTTCTGTTGATGCTGCTTTCTATATCTGGGTACGTAGAGACCAACACTAACCCTATGAGAATCGAGCAAAAACTATATAAGCTGCCGCAGGTATCTTAAGGAAATGGACGCGATCATTTGCCGAATTGCTGGCCAGAGGTCACGTACTTGCCACTAAATTACAATCAAAGACCAACGAAATCACCAACGTCAAGGAAACTCCGGCCACTCTTAGCATAACTATTGCTAGTGTACAGCGTGTGTGCGGCTGTGCACTGCCACTTGGCTGTGCTCTTTGAAAGACTAGACGACATGAACAATCGAATGTGAAGAAATAACCTGATAATAAGAGGCTTGCAGGAAGTTGATAACAAAAATTAGGATTATAGAAAGAATATATTTTCAAACTTTAAAAAATATAGAAAAAAAAAGTCACCTAAACTTTTAGTAGTCAGAAGACGGCAGAATCCGCCAGGCCGGTTATTCTCAAATGTTTTAGCACTAACAGCAACTACGAAGCCCTGAAACATGCTTCTAAGCTTAAAAAGTAGGGCTGGTATATCGATCGATTAACCTACCGTTGAATCGCTTAATGAATGAATCGCGATTATTTTTTTAATCGGTTAGTAGGTAAATTTTGACGATCCTCGAGAAAGTAAAAATTAAACGCTTTAACCGCGCAGACGTGGACGAGAACACTTGTATGAAAGGCACAATTTAGGTGAGCTCTTAACGTAAAATAAACTGTAGGGGCAAGATTTATCACTCCAGGAAAGTGCAGAACGTTACGCATATCCCTGCTTTTTAACGCCGCACGAGTGTCCGTTTAGCGCAGCCGAGACTATTGTAAACAATCAAAGTAGGTCGCCCTTGTGGGAGAATATCAACCAACCTCAATGCTTAATGCAGATAAAGTGTGAGTGTTTGCGGCATCTGTGAGTGGGAGTATATTTAAACTGTTCTTAACTACACATCGAGGTTGAATCATAATCAAAATTGTAGATTGCACCGTTTATCACAATTAAGCAAAAATGTAATTTTGATTTCTGTTAAATTGTGCGTAAATATAAACGAGACCGATTAATAGATTACTTAATCGATTAAATGGTGGTGATCAATCGGGTTACAATTTTTAATCTATGCCCAGCCCTACAGTAATCAGCAATGGGAAAAAATGGTTTGTGTTTTGTTTATATATTATGCATGGAAATGAACGAGACCAATTAAACGATTAATTAATCGCTTAAAGGGTGGCGATATATATATATATATATATACTATTAGCCTCCCATAAGACATTAAATCCACCATTTGACTCTTTGCTCACAATTATACACGTACTTTACGGAAAATTTAATCTCCAGCAGATCATGTCATATTTAAAATTTTCTCAATATAATCAGCGAATGGTGTGTTGCGTGGCAAATAAAAAGTAATTCGAGTAAATGCAGCATATTAGCAGTTACATAAAAGAAAAGAACATCACCTTTCCAGTACTTCCTTTTAAACCAATCAATTGAAATTGTAACATCATATAAGTGCATAGGAATCATAATATCACCAGCAATTTGTCCTGGAACGCGCATATAGATAGTATGGTCATGAATGCATCCATCAAACCAGGATTGATGTTTTTAACTCAACATTCATTACGCTTTTTAGAACACTAATTTTTTTTGCTTACAGGTCAATTATATGCATTACAAACCCGAAACAAGAGGTTTTTAATGGAAGTTACTCACCAACTTGCCTGTTTTTTTGCCTTTACTTCACTAAGTCAATTATCCTCCTGAAACTCAAGTATGCCAGCATGAAATGGAACCCTCACCGAAATTGTTTAACCCTACATTTAAATTCTTTACAAAACAAGACCCACTTTCCAACTGCCGCGCATACGCTCACCTAGCAAGTGTCTCAAAATTGAAGGGAAACCTGGAATTTTATCCTCTTTGCAAAATCGACGTGAGAGTTCTCGCTTATGTTTTTTCCGTTAAATTTAATACATCGTATCACTTTTTCGGGGCATCTTATTTTTTGTATCCCTACAAGGTTCTTACCTCCCAGGCGTGATCATTCAAGCAAAGTTGAACCAAATAAATCAAGTACTGACTTGATAATGTTCTCTCTACTACCATTATGTATAAAATATTAGAACAGTCTCCCCGCACGCGTGGTGATTCTACCCTATCGTATTTTATTTAGGCAGAGCTGTGTGGACTTGCTTAGTAAAGTCCTTTTTTATCATAACGTTAATCACAAATGGGACATTTAACTTCAATTCTAGCACTATGTTCGTTATTGTATTGTTGCATCTATGAAATCTCTTCATATTCATTTTGAGTTCGGGTTTTTGTAGTTTGTCATTATTGAAATATTATATGAAGTGTTGGCTCCTGGTTTTTGGTTGTTTTTGTTTTTACATTTGTTACTATCAAGACTATGTTTTCGTCTTTAATATATCCCCCTCATGTAATGTATCGACAGATGCCTTTGAGGTAAAGAAATGAAATGAAATAAAATCCGTGTCTTTGAAAATACTATAAAGCTCCGAAACTCAACAAAAATACCCGATAAAACTACGCCGGCCGAGGGTTAGAGAATCTTCTTGGCCCAGAAGTCTCGACTGCTCCACAGAGTCTGTAGTCTAGTTGGTATATCAGCTTCGTTTTATGTTCTTGTCTTGCTGCTTCCGGTGGGAAAAATCAAAAGATGGTTTAAGATTGCAATACAATACCATGCAATACAATGGCATTATTTCTAATCAATTTATAAAAGGGAGACCTAAAAAAAACTGCTACACAATATGACGAGTTTCGGCCCCTACAGTAACAAGAAAAAAATTGCTAAAAACACATTAATAAATAAATGACCACATCTCCACGTGGTGAATGATGTTAATTAGGGCGAAGCTCTGGTGGTGCTCAGAATACTGATTTTGTTCGTAGGTAGTGCTGATGCAAAGTTTAACGCGATTATATACGCATTTGACCCCAGCGCCCTCTCCTGTAAAGAGGTTGAGCGGCTACATGCAACGTTTCATCCATGACATCCCCAGCTCTTGAATTACTGCCACATCTCAGAGCCCCCTACTTGTCCCGGAGTCGTTTCCGAGTGGCTAAGGCGATGGACTAGAAATTTATTGGGGTCTCCCCGCACAGGTTCGAATCCTGTCGACTGCGCAAACATTTTTTTTTTTTTAAGAAGACAGATGGCATGGCAATCAATGTGAGCACGGACGCCGCACGGAGAAGGCTAGACCCTAAGGAGCTTCGGCCCTAAAAATGTTTTGTTTCCGTGGTATAATGCCGCTCTTGTATAATATAACACTCCTCCCTTACTTTAAATTATTTGTATTTACGAGTCTGCTTTTAATTGATTGGCTTTCTATGTGGTTATGGCCAGATGAAATTATTATTTACGTTTTTATTGGAGTTTTTAAATCTGAATCTGAAGACACCATTTCAAGCAAATGCACAAATGTACAAATGGTATTATAATCCAAAACGATTATAATTAAATAACTATATTGTGGCCCCCTTTAACCAGGGGCGACAATAAACTTAGAAGCTACACAAGTATTTGTTTATGTTTTTCTTTATAACTACAAAAATGAACGTTTTTAATTTGTATATTTGTTTTAGACTTGGCGGTTGCTTTTTTTCAGTTTTGGTATTCGGACAACCTCACGCTTGTGAGAGTTGACATGAGGCCGTCTGAAGAAGACATGAAAGGACCTATCTTGAAGGAGGCTACCGGAATAAATGGCCGTGTCTCAGTCGTCATGGATTTCAATTACGGTAAATAACATTTTGCAATTTTGTTTATTTGATGTGAAAAAAAAATTATTCAAAATTATCTTGTCTGCTACAACTTAGAGGCTATTTTTTTAATTACAGACCCGATTTAAGAAGCGAAAATATTACGAATGCTTCATTAATAATAATAGAACAGAGGCGAGCCGCCATTGAATACTTCAGTTTCGTAGTAATGACAAGTCCTGCAGTACGTAGGGTACGCTCTTTGTCTGCCGACGGATGTGCCTCGCAGGTCAAAGATTAAATGTCAAAGGTCACTTGCGGTTGTGAACGTGTCTTGTCTCGCTACCCTACCATGGGTAGCTGGAAACGCATAGTTCGACCTCAAACTCTATTCTAAATGGAAATATATACAATACATTATATTATGATTAGAGGGGGAGATGTTATTAGACCTCTAGGGGAACGCTGTTTGCGATATCAGCACCATGCACGCCAACGAGCAATGCGTTTGACAGTGCCTTCTCTGCGGGCTCAGCGGATCCCGCCAACACTTTATGCGAAAATAACTGCGATAAATTGTTGTTTACGGAACTAATATTTATTTCATTCGATTTTATGTACAGTACGTTTTTGAGGCTGACACCAGTGTTGTACGGAGAGGCGTTCCAAGGAATGGCGATCCTGGAACGCCTACCATTTCGGAGGAACAAAGGAACGCCGTCGTTGCATTTTGCATTGGTGGAGCTGGAAGGGGAACTCGTTACATTCTTACTGGAACGGAAAAATTAACGGCGTTCGTTTTCTTTCAGTCCAGTGGGGTAATTCTTATTTTATTTCTAAAAGGGGAATTCTAAAAGTATAAAAACAATATATTTACGAAGAGCAGGGTTTCGTTAAATTTTTGGTTACTTAGGGTTTATTTTGTGTGGTCCTCGCCTGGTAAAATTTCAGGTGCAGGAGAGTTAATCGACATCGATTCTTTTTTTTTTTTTTTTTTTTTTTTTACGGTGCCCGAGACTACGGTTCAAAAATCAAAACTTTCAGTCTAAGGAAAATACACTAAAAGAGGGACATTTCAAGGAGCGACTTTTTTTGCTTCCACGAATCCTCATTAACCCAGAAATCTAAGGCAGACTACAGCTATTGCTGAACGTCCACAAAGAGACCTACAGTTAGAACAAAATAACAGGTTACAAGACATCGAACAAAAGCTCGTATGCCGAACATTGGCCACGTAAAATATAAACAAATATTAACCTTTATTCATTCTCTCCTTGTCCCCCACATTCAAACTGAACAGCGAATCCAACCTTCACGAAGAAGGACTTGTAGTTTTTAAGACTGACCTTTGCAAAAGCCCTACCCTCTTCTTCACTTGCTCGTCTTGCAGACAGCAACATCGAGAAGCAACTGGTGTTAATTTCAATCAAGAAACTTTGTTAGATTAAAACGTGTGAGGTTGTAAAATGATCATGCAATGTGGGGTGTCAGTATATTTGACTCGTCTGGATCGCGCACCACAAACATGAATATGGTTAAGAGCTAAGATAATGGAACAGCGCGAATACAGGGACAGAGGAAGGAACTGGACAGGGCGAGCGCTGTCCCTGTAAAATTCGCGCTATTCCATTATGAATACATACCAACTCGACCAGCTATCCTGTTTGCTGAAAGCTAAGAGTTTTAAAGATGAATATATCGACAAATAAACCCTGCTTCCATTTTTTTTCTTCTCCTGGTGCTCTTACATTTCGGCATTTAAATTTGTAGGTTCCCATTTAATGGGATATATTTTTAAAAAATTCTCGATTTAATTAAATATGGTAATCAGCAAAATACAAATGTAACATAGATGTAACAGTAGTACATTTCATTATTTAACTGTAAAGGGAACGAGTGCTTTTTTTACATACGTAACTTGTAACGGGAACATGTCCGAAAAATCAGAAGGAACGAGGAACGATCTTTCGTTCACTTTTTTAGGAACGTGTACAACACTGGTTAACGCTACATTCCTAGCATCGAGCGTCACAATTTGAGACAAGTCTGTCTGCATATGGAAACAATAATGTAAGGAAGACCTCCAACCAACCAAGGACCCAATTTTATTTACTCGTTGGCCACTTGAGCACCATATACACAGCCATGCTCATGTTGCAGTATTTTTTCTAAAGATTGGCTTCTCAAACTGGGTTCCTAGGTAACCAGCTGTTCCCCAGAGCTCCTTTTTGGGTTCTTTAAGCTTGCAAATTTACTCGACCTCCCCTGCCTCCCAGGTTTTCTACAAAAGGAACGCTAAATGTTTTTAGTTATTCATTGTTTTTTTTATTGCCCCAAGGTTTCGCTATTCTTTATGTAAATCCAATATACGAGTACGGCTTGCAAAATTTTCTTCGTTGGGATTACGTTTACCAATCTTAGCATATTTATATAAATTGTTGTTTTGTAACATTCGCGAGTGATTCCAAGAAATAACTAAGAATATTAAAGCTATCGAGCCTAGTAGTTGCAGGCATTAATAATCTTTGCATGATAGATCGTAAAGCATATCATGATATTCTAATCAAACTATCAAAAATCTTGATGTTAAATTTTAATGGCTTGATGTCATTAATTTAAATACCTTTGTCCTTCCTAGATTTTGCATTTCTGGCACATTCTGCGAACGATGAATGCCGCATTTTGAAGGTGGACAAGGATTTTTTTCTTTGCTATAAAGAGGACGAAAAATGTAACAAGATTAATCGAGAAGCTCTCTTTGGAATTTCAGCAAACTTATCATACAAGGGAAAGGTGAAATATTGTCATAAATTTGTATCTCTTATTTAATTTTTTTTAACTTATCTACCTCAAAGGCGTATCCTAAAGACGCATTACATGAGGGGGCTTGTGCAGTAATGTGCATCCATAACAACATAATCACACCGTATGTAATTTACAAAGAAAAAGTTGCGAAATCAGGTTGACACCTTACACAGAACTCATTTTTAGCTGAACACAAAAAGGGAATAAGAAAAATAAAGCATAGATAATTATACTTGTTCTACTTGGGACACAGGCATTTGCGCATTTCTTTTAGATGACTCATGATTTCTGTTAGTAACCATCTGGTATGGCAAGTCATTCCATTCTGTAATCGGCAGTATGAAAAGAGAAAAGAAAAGAAAAAAGATTAGTATGAGAAGGGGATTGCTGAACCTTACATAAATTATCGGTTTAAGGAGAAATGTAATGGACCTAATGGCAACAAGTGTTTCTTATGAGTATAGTTGTAGTAAATCGCATGGAAAAAAACAGATTCGGTTGATTTCGCGTCTGTTATATGATAATGGAAGGCCAAGATTGAATTTTAAAGCGGAGCCACTATTTTCAGGCAGGAAATTGTTCACTATAAACCGGGCAGCCTTCTTTTGGACAGACTAATTTAGAAGTTATGTAATTTTGAAGGGGACGCCACATAATGCTTGCATATTCTAGTCTAAATAGAAATATTGTTTTATGAGACAGTACTTTAGCTTCGGCGGCCAGATATAGCTGTCGTCTTAAAAAACTTTGTGATTTTTGTGAGGTGTTGACTACGATATCGATGTGTTGATTCCATGGTAATGTTTCAGAAAAATGAACACAAAGGTATTTGTATACTGGTACCGATTCTAGTTGCTGCGTAAGTAATAAATATAGGATGAAGAATTTGTTTCGGATCGTGACAGTGTTCATTAGCTTACATTTTGTGGGTTTAAAATTCACTGTCATTGTACGCACCACAAATTTATAGCGTCGATATCATTTTGAATTATGTGCTCTATGGGACTATAGATATTTCAATAAATAACACAGTCGACGGCAAATAATCATAGTTGATTTAATTCAAGATGAAAGATCGTTTAGATATTTTTAAAAAAAGTAGTGGACAGAGAACGCTGCATTGGTGGTCACCTGAAGTTACGGGGACTGATTCATAGTGGTGAAGAATTGTTAACCGAGACCGACTCCTGTCTGTTTGTTAAAAACAACGTTACCCAGCTTATGACTAACGAATCAATGTGAAGAGATAATTTTAAAAGCAGCCTCTGTGAGGAGCGGTGTCGAATAATGCCTTAGAGAAGTCTATAAATGTGACATCTGTGTGTACCGGTGATTGCCAATTGGAATTGGGATCTGTGACAAACTCAAATATTTGGCTGTTGCATGAATTTTTTTTTTCTAAAACTATGCTGGTTGGGGAAAGAAGTTGCATTGACAGAGGTATGAGATAATATTAGTACAGAGAACATGTTCCATGAGCTTATAGGGAACCCGAGTGAGCGAAATAGGTTTGCAGTTAGGTGGATCTGATTTTTTGGATGATTTGAAGATGGGTTTAACTCCTGCGAAGTGCCAATCTGCAGTTATCTCCCAAGAACTCAGACTTGGCAGATAAAGAGCGGCAAGTAGATTTAATCCTGAGTGATTGGTCATTTTTATAAACTTCGCAGATATACCGTTAATTCTGGGGATGCTATTGGACGACAAGCTTTTGATTGCCTTGACGATTCTGTCAGAACTGAATAAAATAGGAGGTATAGGTTTTTCTTGATAAGTCGGAGAGTAGGAGGGGAGTGGAAAGATTTCGTGTGTAAAGACGCTGGAACAGATTGAATTCAATATGTTGGCAGCCTGGTCATCGCCAAGTATTCCTTATTGATAATTTACGAACAGGGGGTAATTTTTGTTTCTTCTGGGCTTACTATATTCCAGAACCTATTGGGATCTTTAGAAAGAAGATTTAGTAAAGTGACGGAAAAATATTAATTTTTCTTTTTCTTTTTACTTCGCATTTGCACAATTTTGAACCGTTCATTTTTAATTGACATGTGTTTTAACTCTTAGTTAACTAGGGAGACGCGCTATCAGACCGAACGGATGTTTTAGGAACAAATATTTCAAGCAATTCCGTAAACGTGTTTTCGATGAGAACCTGGTTTTCACTTCCGGATCGCTCGCCGTGAGATGACATGTAATACATCTTAAAATCCTTTATTGCTGGCGTCATGTGTTCGACGTCTAACATGAAAAGAAAAAATTTGCTCCGAATATTGGTTGAGCGGTTCAGTTTTTGTGACGTTTCGAGATGAATAAGAGCGTGATCGCTTATGCTCTCCATACTACTAACAGACGTCAGACATTCCGGCTTAGTGGTTAAAAATAAATCTACTTTAGCGTCATTACGTATTGCCATGGTGATCATTAAGTGAAAGCCCATACACACTCGCTTTTTAAAAAAACAATAGAAAACTCTGCGCAGTGGCGAGAACTTTTGCGCTCAGGAAAGAGCATTAACGTCGACCAGTTTATTTCGGAGTAAAAATCGCCAGCATAAAAGCATGGATGATTTGGAAGCTTTTTGGTTACGGCTCCAATAAAATTGATAAATCGACATGTTGAATTCGGTGCGATTAACATCGGGTGGAAGATAACAAACACTCACCAAGACACAGCGAAAAGGCAATTTCAGTTGGATCCAAAGCACTTCAAGATGAGATGAACGTTCAATTCGACAGCATGATATGGCTTATTTAACTGTGACGATTACACCTCCACCCCTGACGAATTGTCTGTCGTTCCGGAAAATACTTTATCATCGATTTAAGATTACTACTTCATTTTTGATATCGGGAAGCTAACGAGGTCACAGTACCAAAAATTGCGCCAGGCCCGCTAGAGGACATGATATTTTCAAGTTCAACTTGTTTTGATAAAATACTTCTAAAGTTAGCAACGATGAACGAAAGATTAGCAGTAAAATTGCGCTTAGGGTACTTTCGTTTGACATTGCGTCAGTCATCCTGTTAATTGTCACGGCACGAATGAAGACAAACAACTGTATTACTTGCCGATTCATACATGTATAACTGAGTGCCGAGGTGTAATTTGTTGTAATTAATTTTACATTTGGTCCTGCTTTCTCTAAATTGTCCGGCAAATGCCCTTTTGGCAAATATATTTTGATTCATAAAACCGCAGTCTGTTCCAAATAGGAGTCCTCCATGTAAGAACGACTCCTGCCATTCAGTTCTAAACACGGAGCACTTACTTTTTGGTTAAGTGATCCCTGGCGTTTTCTCATGGCGCCAGGTCACGTACTCACCATAGACCTATATATCCAGTAAACTTTGCCACGTAGTCCACATGTCCACCATTGTCTTCAGTGTTCGAGGCATTTATCACACCACACTCGTGAAAAGTTTATAAAGTGTAACGTAAAAAAATAAATAAAAAAAAATTGCACGGGCCTTTTTCTCTTTAACGCAGCCGAGAAATTTCCCCGTTTAATTTTCCTAACGAATTCTTCCCGTTAAGCTTGGCAAATAAGTAGTGGCAGCTGACTTCAGCGGGAAACGTTTTTCCGCTAAATTTAAATATTGTGACGTTATAGTTTCAGGGTGTCATGTCACATCAGTGTCACGTGAACAGAATAATGTAAGTTGCACTGATACATCACGTGCATTATTCATGGGGTCACATGGCCACTATAAAGCAATTATTTTTCCGATTACCTTGGCTACTTGGTTATGACGGCGATCACGTGCACCAAACTCCACTGAAGTCTGCTACTGCATAACACGGTGATGAATGGAAATTTGTAAAACAAATTTCCAACTTGTGTGGTGACTGCTGTAACCACCATTTGGCAGGGATTCCGCACCTTCCAACATAGAGCAGACTTTCGAAAAGGGTCCATATTGAACTGGGCGCATCTATAAGGCGAATCTCGAGATCATCGGCGTTCAGCGAGGGTGGCTTCATACGCTCTATAGCAACGACCTGTGTTCGGCTGTACAAATGGAGAGTCATGGTTTATGCAGTACGTCATAGAACTTGGAAACTTCATTCGCAAGACGGTTCCATACACTTCATCAAGCCTTTCTTACGCAGGAAAGAATGCGTGCATGCTGTGAGCGCTTGGCTAGCAGAGTCCTTTCGGGAGTTTAACAACCGAGGTGATGTGGTTGCTTCTGATGGTGGATTTGCAGCACGTTTTTGAAGTACATTTTTAATAAAAGACATGCCTATGTCTCGAGTACTTCAAAGCAGTCTCTAGACAAAAGAAAACGGTGTACCATACACTAACTCTGCGGAGGTGCAGTTAGGATCTTGCTCGAACGCGGGCCGAATGCCAAGTAGAGCAAAAGGCAGATGATTAACCCAATGAAGGCGGCCGTCCCCTGCCGTGATCAACCCCTTGGGCTTCAAGTGTGAGCCCACGGTCATGACATTTGCCGATCGACGGGTGGTACGTGGCTGTGTGGACATTGTGAGTTCCGAGCAGCTATAAAATATAAAAAAGTGAATAAACAATTAACGACATTTTTGCCAGTTAGTTTAGCACTCACCACAAAAAGTCAATATAGCTGATATGACAATAGAGTATAAACATAATGGTTTTCCGATAGGCGACGCTTTATAGGGTAACCCGAGTCGTTGAAGAAGTCTTGGATATCGGATACCAAACCGTCTACAATGGTTAGTTTTGTGTTTGTTGTTGTTTATAAAACGAATGATGCATCCTTGATAATATGACCCAACTTTATTTTGCATTTGTATTTTTGTTTTAGTATGCTGAAAGTGGAATCTATGGAGAGACTTGGTCTAAGGTAACAGAGGAGACTAAAGAGGGCGCTTCCCAAACAAAAATTTTAACAAGACACGAGGTCTCCTTTCAAGAAGTAAGCTTCCCAATTCTTTGTTTACACATACATTAGATAATCTGTGCGTTGCAAGTCCATAAAGAGAAGGATTTTAACTTTTGATATGCTTAAAGTGGCTTTGGAAGAATTTTCCAGCATTAGATAACTACACGGAACTATTCGAAACTTTCAATAACAGTTTCATAAGTACCTTACAAGCCCTAAGGCAAAAGATAGCGGTGCATGTAAATGAGGAACCGGGTGACCAAATTGACAGCGTAAATTCAGCACATCTATCAGAAATAAATGAGTACGATCTCATGAACATTATTAATTCAATGTCAATAACGTAAGTGCCTGGAATAGACAAAACTCGTATTAGGGATTTCGCTACAATTTTTCAAGTCTAAAACTGGTCCTCCTCGCGATAGTTAAACGAATGCTGACAACAGCAAAAATACCGGAAGGACTAAAATTGTCAATAGTGAGACCGCTAAACAAAAAGTGCAGTAAGAACGAATTAGGAAACTATAGACTGATATTAATATTAACAACAATTGCTCATTCTCGAAAAATGGGTACAAATATATGTATGAGTGACTTGTGTGAGAGATTTGTGTTATTGAACGACGGGCAGTACGGTTTCAGGCAACAAAGGAACACTATTTCATTACTTGAAGTTTTCTCGGACTCTTTTAATGAAACACTCGAAAATAATAAAGAGCCCTTGCCTTGTTTTTTGGACTTGTCCAAAGCATTTGATACAATTGATTACGCACTCCTCCTATCAAAACTCAATAAGCATGGTTTCAGGGGTCCATTTCAGAGATTCTTCACTGATTACTATACAAACAGGTTCCAGATGGTTAAAATTAGAAGCAGCACTAGTACAAAACTCAGAGTCGATTGCGGCGTGCCACAGGGTAGCACAGTAGGTCCGTTATTGTTTAATATGTATGTGAATGACCTATGGTTATTACAACTACGATCTACAATGTTACAGTACGCGAATGATACTGTTCTATTACTACCGCATGACAACTATAACCAGGAAGATCTGCTGCTTCAAAGCGATATAGATTTATTAGTTAACTGGTTCTCAGGTAATCTCATTTCTGTGAACGTCAATAAAAATAAATTAGTCTGTTTTCGTAATCTCCATAAACAAATTATTCTAGTACCAAACATATATCTTCACCTCCATGATCATGCTCAAAACATTTGAACGTGTAGACCATCACCTTATGACTCCTCGGTTAAATATATGGGGTTAATATTTGAACAACATCTCCTTTGGAACCAACAGATCGAATATATTATTAAGAGAATGCGGGTGGTATCGGTGTATCTTTACAATCTAAGCACTACATGTTCTGTAAACTTGCGGACAACTATTTTCAGATCTTTAGGAGAATCAGTTATCGGACATGGAATTACGATATATGGAAATTGTTCCGAGTACAACAAATAGAAAATTGATAGAATCATAAAATATAGCTTAAACAATATTTCTTACGGGTCAGTGTACGATAAACTAGACCTTGAAGAAAAATGCGCGCGTTAGAAATATTGTTATTTAGTCAGTTTCATAAATATGTGATAATAACAAGTAATTATTATAGTACAACTTTTAAACAAGACGTAAAAAAAGAAAATTATGGCATGCAGATAGGTTCAAGGGCCCTAAGATATAAACAAATTATGGAAAAACGTTAAAGCGACACTATGTCCCATCGATGTCCAAGAGTTTGGAAGTGCCTTTACTGAACTTATCATCCTCTCGTGCGGTAAAACGGGATGTAAGAAAATGGTGCCTCACGCTCGCGCAATACTAATTATATAAATACTTAGTGCGTATTCGTTGCCCACATTCCTACTTTATTGTTTTTTTATTTTATTATTATTATTATTATTATTTTAAAATACATTTTGATCCATCCCTTAAGTTGTAAATAGCATCGATCTCTCAAAAAGACATAATTCAGCAAAGTAATTTTATCCAGCCAAAAATAAAAAAAGCAATATTTTGCAATATGCTGGCATTTTGCATGCCCTGCTGAGAAAATGTAATGTTTTGGTATATGCCCATAAAGGTTACCTGATTTTCTCCACCCTCCATTCCTTGTGGTATTATGCAGCTTGATAGGTAACATATTACTCGACAGGCATCCAAACGCACTTGATTCACTTCTTAAGCCTGTCATCAAATGAAGACAGAATTGGCTGAATATGCTTTGCAACGATGCTTTGTTTCCGCCTGTTACAATGCCTTCATTTACCTTTATTTAATAAAGTAGTGTGTTTTCTTTTTTTTAAAGTCCTTGGCTATTTCCAAGCATCTTATCATAAATAGTCAATCAAAACTACGTTGGCTCATAAGCTTTCTTTGTGGATCCTGCCTGTTTGTTCTATTTCAATCCACACCGCCCATTATAAGCCAATTTAGAAGCGACGAGCGCCGTTATAATAAGCCATGCTCTATCGCTCGTGCATTGTCAGTGAAATGACATACTATTGCGGACAATATTTATTATTATTATTATTATTATTCATTTACATTGTACCTACATAGCCCTGTGGGCATTATTGAAGGGGGTTTTAGAAAACACTATAACAAGTGGAAAAAGAAAACGTCATTGTCATCAATGGACACAATATCTTCCGGGAGCTCGTTCCACTCTCGCGGTTTTGACAAAAAATGAATTCGCAAAACTGTCAGTCCTACAAGTGGGAACAGTAACCTTTTTAGAATTATCATAACGGGTAGAAACGTAGGATGGCTCCATAAAAGGATGGCATAAGATAAGTGGATAAGTGGAAACGCCGGAGCGCGTGGCCTTCGATACATGCAGTGCTACCCCCAGGCTGATAAAACTAGAGCGGAGGGGTGTGTGTGCGCTTACTCCGATCTGTACACCAAATACTTCACTATGTGGAATGCATCTCACTCCGGGGAAGTACAATAGCGTTGACCCTTTAAGGCTTCGTAAAGTGTAAACGGCTACACGCCGCAAAATATGGGATTTGCCCCATTGAATTGCGGGTGGTGGAGAGCGCTATCAATCGTCGTGAAAGTGGCGGGTCAAAGCTCTTGACTAAGAGTTATCCAGTCTCCAGTAGACGTTCCACACTCGGTTTGGTCGAAATGTCGCAGATTTTTTTACAAACAAAAAATAGAACAAAATATGTTTTGACATTAAATTAAAAGAAACGTTTTTTACTCGTCACTTGTAGAATTAACGCGGTCGAAGATAATTGGATACAATCAAAGTGAAAAATGTATGGATAACTAAAGCTTCTAAAAGTAATATAACCAGTACAATCCGACGAGTTATAAAGCTTTGGTACAGTAATATTTCGAAGATGCATTAGTATTTTTACACGCCACCACCACTCACAAAAAAGAACTGAAGTGTTCTATACTCCGTTCCACGATTACTTGGCGAACTGCGGAGGCTACGGTTTCCGCGACCCAAGAAGAACGTCGAAGCGAGGCAAGTGAGAACGCGTAACGGTGGCGTGTGTCACTGCGCCAAAGAACCGGCTGTCATCTGCTGGCCGAGAGTCGTCTGCTTCGAAACCAATTAACTTCTGATGAACGTCCACCACCGTATCATTGCCGTCTGTTAGAGTAAGAAGCTCTTCGGGAATAGTTCATGAGGCAACCGGAGGTGCAATTTACCCGCGAATCTTTGGCGTTTGCTAATGCCCGGGCAATGTTTTGAGTATAAGCAGTTGATTACACGACTGCTATCTCCAACGGCCCCGACTCTACAAGGCAAAAAAAAAAAATCGGGAGCGGTTACGGGTGTGGAGTTACATTTGCAGTTGAAATATAATTGAAATCCATATATTCCTCAATATTTATTTCTTATTTTTAATACATTCTCAATAGGGATGGAATTAGTCGAGTATAATTGTCGTTAAAGGAGAAATTAATCACTACTTTTTGTCGCGGACGGCGCTGTACTTGTCGGTAGGGTAGGCCTCCGTGGCGTCGACCATTGAGTGATATGAGGTGACTTGCTCCCACGCTCTTATTGGGTCGCGGGGGCCGCAGCCTCCGCAGTTCTCCAAATTATCGTGAAACGGACTATGGTCAGCAGTTCACGAGAGAAACATAGGATCAAATTACCCGCGAATCTGTGGCGGATGCGAATTCCAGGGCAATGTTTTCAGCTGAAGTGGTTGATTACACGGTGGGAATGAAACAAAGACAAATGAAGTTTTTTTTTTTTAGATCGTTTTGTAAACACGTAAATATAAATGAAACTCTCCATTTTCAATTCACACCGATCGATTTAGTGGAAAAAGAACATAAAACATTATGATTTATGTCTTCAGAAAACTCAGAATAGGTTAAACACATAAACCAGGTTGTCAATAAATTATGCAGAATTGATGGTGTACTTATTTGTTGCAGAGCTATTCTCGCCCCCCCCCCCCCCCCCAAAAAAAAAAAAAAAAAAAAAAAAAACACAAAATATATCATGAATTATTTAAATCCCAAGTAGCTTATTGTTTTCACGTTTGGGGAAGGACCACAGAAACAAATCTTAATAAAATATTATTACAATATTTTCTTAGCCTACTCAGAAGCTCTATTCTCCCCATACAAAATATAAATATACACCAATTTCATAAGTACCTTTTGACTCGATCATTTCGTTTTACTTGCCCTGAATGTATTAGTTTTCTAAAACAAACATCACGATTGGTCAAAAACATGCCCGCCATAAGCACCCGCTACTCCGAGGAAGGAAAAGTGTTTATGTTTCGTGCGAACTAAAGTTACAAGTTTTTAAAGCATAACCTTCATAGCTCAACAAATATCATGCTGTGGCGTGGACATTCATAATATTAACCCTAAATCATTGCACTGACATTTTGCATAGAATTTTTACAGCGAAGCTGTGATGTGCTAGGATGTGGAAAAAATGAGTCCATAGATGTTAGCGAAAAACTCCCGTTTAAAAGGCGCTCCTGCATTCAATTGGTCGTGGCAAGTATAAATGTAAAGAGGGGGCAACCCACGTTAG